GCCTCCCTGGAAGGATGGCGGTTTCATTTTGCTGAACTTATGGGTGAGAGCAATTATGTCCCCATCATTAACATTCACATTCTATTCCAGCTGTACCGGAGGAGGAGGTGGGGGCTGTTGATTCTGTTGTTGATCTAGTCTTTCAGTTATTAGTTCCATCATTCTTTCCAGTCTTGCCATTATTGCCTCAGAGGATGAGGATTTAGATTCATTTGCAGTTCTTATATTATCCATTTAGCTATAAGCAGTTAAAGCAATTTTAAACATAAGCAGTTGCATACTTAAACAGTTTATCACATTAGCACTATTCAGTCATGTCATAGCCACACACACTTTTCATGCTCATGTAATGCCCTATTCATTTTTCTAGGTTGGGCCAATTTTCCAGAAAACATCCCAAAACTCATAGTTTAACATGATTCCAAAGCTCAATTGTAAAATCAAAGCCCAAGGGTGTTTCAAACAACTCAATTTCAAACCAATTTTCAAGAATATGAAAAACATGCAAACATGCATGAATCTAACCAATTCAAAGCTTCAATACAAGCTCAAATGAGCTAACTCTTACAAAAACATGATGAAATCATGGTCTACTCTCAAAACATGGACATGCATGTGAGGAATTATAGACTACAACCTTAAAACTTCAATACATATACATGCATGCAACAATTGAGCTCTAATTCAACACTATTGAACCAATTCTTGACTTAACTCTTTAAACTACCATGATCCATGCTAGAAGGAACTTAAATACACAATAAAGAGGATGAAATTCATACCTAGGTTCCTCAATTACAAGTCTAGAGGCTCAATATGCAAGAAACCTTCAATCTCTACAAGACTCTAAGCCAAATTGTGAAGAACTCAAGCTTTCTCTACCTCTTACTCTCTCAAGTCGGCAAGAACAAGAAATGGACTGATGAAATGTTTTGTTAAAGTGTTGTGAGGCTCAAATATAGTCTAGGTAGTGGGCCACTCATGTGGCAAAATGGTAATTACGTCAACTCTTGACATTAAGCTTATTTTAATCTAATTTAATCAAACCAAATCACATTTTAGATAAATACGCCATAAAATCATATAAATTTCAATGATCGTAAAACGTATATCGATTTCAGATTCGGCCGCCGATAAGGCCTTCAATTTACAGTTTAAACATAAATACACAAACAGATAATCAAACAGTCGAATAGATAAATGTACAATTAAACAGACATACTCAGTCAATTCAGTTCCAGATTTTAGTCAGTCAGTTCAGTATTTCAATCAGTTCGATTACTTATCATCATCAATCTCAGTTTAATAGTAATTAGTAGTTTATCGGTAAACAGTGGTGAGGGTTATTACAAGTAAAGACCTTAGTGTAATCATCCATTAGGTCGAACTTGACTATGAAGAAGCCATTACCTATTTCTAGAGCCTCGAAATCCGCTTAGAGGCCCCAAATCTTAGTCATTTTTGTCATAAACAGCTTGTAGCCTATGGTTTTCCCTAATAGTCTCACAATCAAACATTTCTTCCATGGCTACCTTATCTTCTTTAATAGGGCTGTTGGTAGCCAAACTCTGGGGATCCCATCATTCTCCTCCTCCATTTCCTCGTCTTCTTTCTCAGATGCCTTTGGCGTGGTAGCATCTTCATCATCAGATGAAAGCACCTCCACATCGTTATCAAAGTTCTTTTCATTACCATATTGAATCACGATCTCAGTAGTGCTTGCTTGAAAGATTTTGGGGCTTGTAAATCCCCAGTAGTTTCCATCTATTCAGCATCTAGTTGCCTTTCATGGAGAGGGGAGATCACCTGATTCGTAGCTTCAATTGATGGGTTAGGGTTCGGTAACACTTCCCCTGATTGATGCCCCAAGGAGACATCTTCACCCATGATCGCATCTTCAGTATCAATATTGCCCTTGATCTTCTTAGTGCTTCGGATTAGGTGGTCTTTCTCTTCCGTTGAGCACCCATGGTCGTTTTTCCGGTCGCCCTCCTTGAAAGCCTCAGTAACGGTCATTTTTCACTTCTTCTATTTTTAAGTAGATCAACCTAGATACTCGACACGTAGCAATTTCTATCATCGTTTTCATAAACACAATCACATGTGAGTAGGAAAAATTATTAATTCGTCTTAGGCACAGGTGACTACTTAAAAAGTAGATTTTAAATGTTACTTCTTAACTTTTAATCTATTTTTTTTTTTACCAAAAAATTTAAAAAGTTAAAAATAATTTTAAACTATCCTTTCAAAACACCCTTATGTCAAAAATTAATCATAAATCTTATGTTTCTCATGTTCAACAAATTATTGAGTAATCTTAAAATATCGTCAAGTGATATTTTAATTATATTATAATTAGTAAAAGAGATAAAATTTATAATTTTATATTAAATAATTGAGAAATGAGAAGTTATTAATTGGTGTTGTGAATAGGAGATGGATGAGATTTACGAATTTGTGAGAATTTATGATTAGGAGTATTACCACGTGACATGCTAAAAACACTAAATAATTTTTTTAATTAAAAAAAATGATAAATTATAATTGATAAGAATTAAAGTCACGTAACCAAATAATTTTTCTCATATTCTCCACTCACAAACAAACGGGTTATATTAAGAATTTCAAATAATCTACTAAATTTTCAATCAAACTTTTTACGTGAATGTAAAACCAACACATATGTAAATTTTACACACATAAAAAAAAATTGGTAAAAAATTTTAATAAATTATTTGACATCTATACTATTATAGTGAGGTTTGAATTTAGTCTCTCAAGCCTCTACAATGAATTGTCACGTGTAATTTAAGTGATTTGACCACAAGGAAAAAAAAAACACATCCCACGTTTTCCATTTTCTCCCTCAATCAACTACCCAATAGTGTTACCAAAAAAAAAAACTACCCAATACTCAATTTCCTCCCCCTCTCTCTCCCTCCCCCTTTTGTTCTCACATTTCTTGGCTCAGAGTTTTCTCGCGCCCTCTGAATCTCCAACACGAAGGCTCAACCTCCATTAATTATAGATGCGTACCCCAAGTTTTCTCTGCGACCAAACAGTTTATTAGGGCTTTTCTTAGTGACACAGGTTTTGAGAGTTGGCCATTTCATTCTAAAATTCTGTATGAATTTCAAATTCATACAGTGTTGATTCCATTTATTGTCTTTGGTGTCCATTGCTTTTAAGGTTTTTTTGTTGTTTTTAAATAGTTTTTGTTTTTGGGTTTTGGCTAGGTTATTTTATTATTATTATTATTTTTATAAATCTCTTTGATTGTAAGTGTTTTAATAGGTTTGTATTTTTGTATTTTGTGTGTACTAATTTAATTATATTTTTTATTTTCTTCATTTAAAAATAAAAAAAAAAAGATGAAAAGTTTCATTATATTATCAAGTTCTTAGGAAAAAAATTTGATTATTATTTTACTTGGTTTATATCAAAAAAAAAAATTCAATGTAATTATTTATATTTTTTTTTGTGTATATCAAATTTATTTGACTATAAATATTCTAAGAACCTCTGATTCATAATTTTTAAAAAGAGTGCTATTTTTTTTTAAGAATTATTATTTTATTTTGTTTATAACAAAATTATAAGCGTTCTTTATTTATGTTTTTAATAAATTTGTGATGTATATTTATTTTTTAAAAAATAATATTTTTTTAATTTGCACAACCGCTACTTCATGGTACACCTCCTCCGCCAATTGCATTTAGAGCGCCACGTGGTGCCCCTGACTCAGAGTCAGATCGTCTTATCCAATTATCAATGGTCTCGTTTTCGATAACTCTCTCTCTGTCTCTCTCTGTTTTTCGTTTCTTTTTTTGGTCTCCAATCCAATCAAATCCACATTTTCTTCGCACTCTAATCAATCGATGCCATACTCCAGTGTGTGAGTAAGTGAGTGAGTGAGTGAGTGAAGAGCTTCTTCAATGGCGATGCCAATCGTCGACACGGATTACCTCAAGGAAATCGACAAAGCTCGTCGTGATCTCCGCGCTCTCATCTCCATCAAGAACTGCGCTCCCATCATGCTCCGCTTAGCGTACTCTCTCTCTCTCTAGATTCTGTTTGGTTCTCGAGAAACTTGTTTAGAGTAAGACTTGTGTTGTAGGTGGCACGATGCTGGGACATATGATGTGAACACGAAGACGGGAGGCCCTAATGGCTCAATTAGGAACGAGGAAGAGTACTCTCATGGCTCAAACAATGGTTTAAAGATTGCAATTGACTTTTGCGGTAATTCTTTTACTTTCCTTCTTCTCAATGTTATATGAATTCTGTCAAGTTTGAATTTCTTATTGTGAAGATCATACTACATAAAAATGTTAGGGTTATGCATTTGCCGGAGGAATTGTTAAGTTGATCTCGTCTAATTGATTAGAGAGTTAGCATATGTAAAGCTAAATGCTTGCTACTTGAGTGCACAATTTGGTATACAGTGTTCATTCAGGCTTCATTTGTTAAGTTTTCAAAAATTTTGACCAGCTTGTTTGAATAGTCTTTTGTTGCTGCCGTTACAATGCTTTTAAAATGATTAAAACAAACAAATTGCAGACATTAGGAGACCGGTATAGAATATTTACCTATAAAATTGTAGGAAGTGAAGGTGGTGTTAACAATTTCATTATATTCAAGTCTAAAGTTGATGAGGAGTCAATAGTGAGGCTTGGTCCCTATAGTATACTACCTCTATTCCCAAAAATTGAGAACATAGTGTTGGGATTTTATACCGCATCCCACCAATGCGAATGGAAGCACACCCACACATACACTAGAGAGACAAACAATCACAAATAGATTTATGTGGTTCGCCTAATAACTGTATGGGACCCACCTTTATCACATGGGTGGACTAATCTGGACACATAGGTATTATGCAACATAATTAGTAAAGATTGGAATCTGAGAAGTGTGTGTGTGCTGGGTCAGAGAAAGGATTACAAAGAAGTTGTGCCAAAAAGAATTCGACAAAATAAAAGAATTAAGAAACAAATAACAATCATTTAAATTGAAATTCAAGTTTTTCCATTCAAACAATAACAAAATTTGCATGTGGGCTATTACGAAAAAAAATTAAAAATTTCATTTCTTATGAAAAGCATCCAAACTATGTGAATAAAATTATTAAGTACAGTAAAAATATTTCTTATAACAACATTTGCTTGTGTTGAGAGAGAGGGTCCAGTTTTTAATTGAAAGTGATATAGGATTAAATTGCAAAAGCTAAACATAAATGAAGAAAGAAAACAAGTGATAAGAATGAGAGGTATATTTAGGGGACACGTGCACCCTCTCGCCCTCTCCCTCCGTCCATCTATGTGTGTGATGAAAGTGTTTATGGCATCACCTACATGGCACCATGTGTTGTAGTTTGTAAATACTTGTGCATGTGCATATGTCACTATTTTATTTTATTTTATTTTGCATTTCTTTTTTAATATATTTTTTATAGAGAAGCGATGACTTTAGGGAAGGCTATATTTCTTATCACGTTCATCCACATATTGGGGAAATGTGAGCTATCTTTCTATTAGCACATATGATGTGGGATAGCAAATGGAAACATAAAGTTAAAACAATGCTGCCTGCAGGATAATGGCAGTGTGCAGTAATGGAAAGCTTGTCGCCTTATTTGGTAGAAGAATGAATTTAGGGTTTCCATATGAAAGGGGTTGGAATTGGCTTATTTTCTGGAGGTGATGGGTTTCTGGATTTGTGGAGAATAAGCTGTTAGAAGTTCTGGACGACAAACAACTATTTTTTGTTGATAAACATTATTGAATTGGAAGGCCAAAAGGTTTGGGAACGGGTTTCGCTTTATTAGGGCTAGGTAGGATAGGGTTTTAGTCATGAAATTATGACAATTAGTTGGTTGTGAACAGTGATGAAAGAAAATGGAGGCGGAGAAAACTCTCAAAGGTTATTCAAGCATCATAAAATGGTTCAAACGCTTTGTACAAAATCTCAGAATTCAACTCTAATTGAATGGAAATGTTACATGTGCAATTATAGGCGGTTTAAGAATATTTTAGACCTAAGATAGACCACATATAAGAGTTATGAACATATCTTGACGCATAATACAACCTATCAATTGAAATGACTGATCAAGTTACTGAAAAAACATATATTTGTAAAACATATTAAAATCATACAACAGCATATAAACGATATGAAATATATATTTAAGAATCAAATTGACCCTATACTTCGTTAGACTGGGTCCTAAATATGCTGTGTCCTCTCTCCTTAATGAACCTATATATTTAAGTTGATTTTGAGCTTTTTTTTTGGCATTTTGGTCATGGCGTACTCTCGTAGTCTTATTGCAGTACTAAGTCACAAGTTTGAAATAGCTGTTTTGTTTGTCAAATTTTGTTTGTGACAATATGAATAATTTTAATGATTGTTTTTCTTTCTGATGGCAGAGGAAGTAAAGTCTAAACATCCAAAGATTTCATATGCAGACCTCTACCAGGTGATTATCAGAGGATTGAAAGAATTTGTATGCTTGTATCTTAGATTTAATTCTTACTTTGTGGAATCAAGATGATTGGCAAAAGCCGAAGGCTACCCTTCTTCCGACACTGTGAATGTAATATCTTTTGATACATGAAAACTTATTGCCTTACATTCATATTAGTAAAAGAAAGAGGCTTTCTCTTCTATCTATCAAGTTTTCATTTGTTGATTCTCTCTCTCTCTCTCTCTCTCTCTCTCTCTCTCTCTCTACATTTCTTTGCTTTTGGTTGTTGATAAGTTGATTCTAGAGTAACTGAGAGTAAGATTCTGCAACTCATGAAACTATATAACTATATTGTCAAAATTTGAAAAAAAATTATCTGTTTGAGTACTCCCATATCTAAAATCATGAGGAATAGAAGTCACATTTTATGAAATGAGATTTAAAGTAAAATCTTCTAACAGAATGAAAAAAAAAAAAGAAGACATTTTTGTTTCTGTTTGGGTGTGAGTGAAGCCATTACTTTAGTTGGGCTACTTGGATTGGTGGATATAGTACAGATAAGATCGCTCAAATAGTCTTCATGAAGTTATGTTCTAAAAGCTATAATTCTTATTTTCTTTCCTGTTTACCTTCTCCCAATGCTAAGATTTCTACTGGGTAGTATTATAGTCACAGATGCTGTAATAAGGGTTTCGGATGCATAAAAAACTTAAAGTAGTTTAACACCAAATGGCCAAAACATAAAGTGTGCCTAGGAACAGGAGTGCAAGGGTGTCAAACACATCTTTATTTGTTGTAAGTTATAACAGACAGAAGGCTACTTCAAAAAAATAAGAAAACAAAAAAGAACCAAAAGCAAAAGGCTTTAACATCTTCAATTCATCATGCATTGCTTTATGACTAAGTATGCTGGAAGTCAGCTTCCATTTATATCTAATACAATTATATTGTGAATTATCCAAGAATCAATTACAACAGCAAGGAATCTTAATCCTTATATGTAAACTAAACAAAAATGACACGACATTAAGTTGTCTGGATTTATGTTTTTTCTTTTTCCTTTTTGCCAAACATAGAGAAAGAACATCATCTCCCTAGAGTATTCTTCAATACTATATTTGATTTTATTAAAAATGTATCAACATGTTTAGACATTAAAGCTCCTATCAGAAGGTTTTTATAAATATTTCTGTTCTCAGAAAAGCCAATCAGTGCCGCTTCTAGGCTTAAAAATTTTGTCTGCCACCTTTATTGCATGGATAGAGGCACTATTGTTCTAATACCATTGAAGCTGTTAACGTTTGATTAATAATGAATGGCAATGGTAGTATAATAGGCCCTTTTATTTCACCAATTCTGAGTTATGCGTCTGTGAAGAGTGACTGGCTCATAACAAACCGTTTTGCCTTTAGCTTGCTGGTGTTGTTGCAGTTGAGATCACTGGGGGTCCAACCATTGACTTTGTTCCTGGTAGAAAGGTATGTTGATGAGTTATCTGATGAGAAACTGGCTTGGCGCGTGATATAATTGCATTTGGTGAACTGGATGTGTTGTGCTTTCTTGTAGGATTCAAAGATCTCTCCGAAGGAAGGGCGACTTCCGAATGCTACTAAAGGTCTCCAAATGCTACCCAGATTTTAGTAATCTCAAAAAAGAAGATAATATTAAAGCTACTTAGCTATTAGTACATGAGTCTCAGATTGTTCGGTAATATGTTCCACGAACACTTGTGAACTGTTGAATTGGCAACCTTGGATTTCTTGGTTTTGTCAATGATCATTCACTTTTCCAATCATACTATATGGCATATGTTTTAGCTTTTTTACTGTGAAGCATAGATGAAATTTAGAGTGTTTGGCTAATGATTGGGAAAAGTGGGATATATGAGGGTCTGGTTGAAATGCTAATAGAAGCAAGGTGTACCAATATACTGTGTTTTTGAGTCAGAAGATAAAATGAAAGCCAATGGCCAATATCAAGAATTATTTGCCTTTTCTTTTTTTACCTCTCTCTCTCTCTCTCTCGCTCTGTGGCAAGTAATAGTTAAGTGGTCCATGAAAAACCAAAAAAAGAAGAAAGAAGTTATGCCGCCTATGAAATAGACATTATTGTAAGATTCATGACTACTACTATAAACATGATCCAATTAAGATTACATTTTTTTGTAGATCATATTATTCTACAATGGCTCTCTGTGGAGCTTTTTCACTTGAGAGAACTTTATAAGGATATCATAGAAATTAGAACTGTGCCTTTCTGGGGGAGTTGTTCCCCAATATATTTTTTTCCCCTTCTATTTGAAACCATGTTGAAGCCTTGGGGAAAAAAGTGTTTATGATCACATGAGTTACAATTAAATGAGCTTACAAGGTACACTCTGCAAAAGTTCAATCTTGCATATTCACTTGTGAATATTGATGTAGGGGTGCCGCATCTAAGGGACATATTCTACCGGATGGGTTTATCTGACAAGGATATTGTGGCACTGTCGGGGGGACACACTTTGGTAAATCTTTTCTTTACATTACATGTGGAAAAAATAAGTAAATAAAACCTTCTCTTTACATTTGAAAATATGGTATTATTGGTTAGTATTTCTGAAATGGATTTCACATTTATAGTGTCCTGTTGGTTTTCTCTGTTAGGGAAGGGCACATCCAGAGAGATCAGGTTTTGATGGCCTATGGACTAAGGAGCCTCTGAAGTTTGATAATTCATACTTCGTGTAAGACTTATGGATGAACATGCCCATGTCTTATGTTCCTTTTATCTCAACTTTGGGAAAGAAAGGCCTTTGAGTTTCTGTAGTCTATTTTACATTTAGTATTTTTAAAACAGGGAGCTGCTGAAAGGAGAATCAGAGGGGCTGTTGCAACTTCCAACGGACAAGGCTTTATTGGATGATCCTGAGTTTCGTCGTTATGTTGAGCTGTATGCAAAGGTATTGTGAGCTTATTTCAACGATATGATCAATATAGCATTTTCGTCTTTATTCGTCTGTGATGCTATTCAATTAATCCACTAAGTAAATAGACGGTAAAGTTTGTCATGGTGTTGGTTTCACTGATGAATGTTTCAGAGACTGGTTTTAGGTCAAATTTGCTGTGATACATAGCATTATAGGGATTGGTGTCTGCATTTAGAGGTCAATTGGATCTGAACTATGATTAGAGATTGATAAAATCTAAAATAGACCCATCAATTTACTTGCAACATGCTGGTTTGCTGTGACCTTTCCTTTTTCTTTTTTTGAACGGACCAGTTACGGCAGCCAAATTTAATGCAACTTTAATTAGGCATGTTCTGTTAGATCCTTGATTTGATTAGTGATGAATCCAAAGCCAAGCTAAGTTATCTTAACACCACCTTTTTGTTACGTTTAATTGGAACTTAAATTTCATGTGCATATATGGAAAGAAAAGAGTAATTAGATTGGCAGGTTGGTCTCTGGTTGATGTTGAATTATTGGTTTGGACTGTGGTGTCTGTACTGACTCTTCATCCATTTTTTTCTTTCGTTTTTTGCTTAAAACCTAAATTTAATGTGATATGATCCAATCTAAAGCTGCCTAAACCTGACCCGTTACCAGCAACCATGTGGCCTTACGTGCCAATTAAAAACCTAATATAGGGTTCTAATTCTGGCCAAACCATTCGCAAGTTATTCCAATTACCCAATTCATTCTGGAAAGGTGAATGGAATGTGCTTTGGCGATTAGCTATTATATTCTTCTTTTATTGAAATATCTTTCCATTCTTGAAGCTGCATTACATTTAAATTCTCACTCGGTCATGGTTGTTTTTTGGCATGTGGCAGGAAGAGGACGCATTCTTCAGAGACTATGCAGTATCACACAAGAAACTCTCCGAATTAGGGTTTACTCCTAGTTCCCCTGGTTCCAGGGCAATTGTGAAGGACAGTGCCATATTGGCACAAAGTGCCTTTGGTGTTGCTGTTACTGCTGCCGTGGTGGTCCTGACTTACTTGTATGAAGTTCGAAAGAAGACAAAGTAAAAAAAGTAGAAGACTTCTACAATCGCTCTATTAAATGTCTATACATTGATATCAAATTAATATGAATTATTGCAATGAGCAATATCTACCAGAAAAGGAGTTGGATAATTGATATTTTCATTTTGGCAGCGGTCACAATAATACATACTGAATGGAAATAGTTCCCATGTTGTGGTAAACATTGGATTACATGGATGAGATATGTGTTTGTTATGATTAGGTTTTTAATTCCCTTATTCTGAAAAGCCTGTGGGCATTGAAATCTATTGAAGATCTGAAGTAAAGCCAAGTTTAAGGAAGTTTTTGGGATTATTGATGGTTGTCTTGTATATGATGCACGAACCGCATTTTAAAATTTAAGGAAAAGCAACTTTTTGCGTCTCATGTGCTTATATAATTGAGCTTTAAAACATACCTAATCTGGTCAGTGACATGGTTGGGACAAATGGAGTGGTTCCTAATTTGACAGGAGTGGTTTGTAATTTGACAAAAGGATGCTTAAAGTCTTACATATGTGTATATGGATGTATATAATTTGACTCTGTTCTTAAATTTTTATGAATTTAGCAATCTCTTATATGCTAATAACTTTGTGTCTAATTTTGAGAGAAATTTGATCAGGCATTTGCTCTTAAATCATTAGAGCTTCTGCAGCAAGGTTAGCCCAAATTGTTATTTTGTTTTTTTAAATTTAATTAGTCACTTTTTTAATATACTTTTCTACAAAATTCTTTACTTTTTAGCTATTTAAAAAAAAAAAAATGTTTGAGCCCCCCTTTCCCGCCTACCCCCTTCGACCCCATTTCCCTCCCATTGGTCAGTTTTTCTTTTCTATTTTTTTTCTTTTCCTTCTCCTCCGATCACCACTCGCCATGTGTGTGTGGGGGGTGATGGGGGTGGTGGTTGGACGGGGTCTCTATCAATACTCAATAAAGAAAAAGATTATTTCTTCCATTTTTTGGGGGTGCTGTTAGGGTGGAGGAGGAGGTGGAGGGGCGACAGTGGGTAGGAGTGGTTCTAGGGAGAAGCCCCGGTGAGTGAAAATGGAGCTATGTATTATGAATCCTTCTTTTTTAAATTCATATTTTTCTAGTGAAAACATAATAGACAGAAACATTGGAAACTTGAAGTAATAAAAATAAGGATAAATTACAAATATATTTCGAGATTTAATTAAAATATGAGTCGCTTTTTGTAATTCTGAAAATTACATTTTATCTACTGAGATTTTTAATTTCATAACAAATCACCCATTTTATTAACAAATGATCAAGTCAATTAACAATTTTTAATAATATTATAAATATATTTCAATTAATAATTTAAGTAATTTTATTATTGTATAAGAGAGTGATTATGAATTATATTTTTTTAATTAATTCTGTTAAATAAAAAAATCTAACAAGAGAGTATTTATAATTTTTCAAATTATAAAAGACAATATGTACTGTAAGTAAATCTTAAATGTATTTGTAATTTATCCTTAAAAATATTGAAAACTGTCGTACAGAGAATTCTCTACATATTATATCAAAAGTCAATTGCCTTAAGGCTTACATCATTATTTACACTAATACGACGTTCTAATTAAATTGAAAAGTAAATCGAAAAAGACAATACTTGCTAATCAAGACTAAATCAAAGACGGTACCCAAAAAACAAAAAAAAAAAAACTAAAAATAGAAGAGACTGAAACAAAAGGAGAAAAAGGGGTGAGTAAAGATCTTAATGAGTGGGTGTTTCCACCAATAATTCACAGAACTGTTAATAGTATATATTATTTAGAAGGGTTGCTATTTACGAAAGGTTTATCCAGCATGTGGGACAGTTGAAACAGACCCAATTTGCACTGAGGTTGAGGGAAGGTCACATGGGGGGGTGGGAAGGGACAGCCAAAGGGAGAGTAGGTAGGTAAAATGGGTGGGGTTTTTTTAAGGACAACCCCACGAGTGCTGTTCAATGCCAATACCTAATTAAGCACATGATGCCCCCACAAGTTGCTGAGTTGGCTCTCCACCTTCCTAATCTTGTTCAGTTATTATTGCCTACCCTATTAATATGAGCCTACCCCCTCAAAGTTTGGTACATCAATGCCCCTCTTGCTTAAATCACCTTAATTTCAAGATAAAAAATTGACCCCGGTGAATAAGCCGTTGTTTTATCAATATAAATGTTTAAGTTTGGTTCATGTTATGTAATTATTTTTATGGAAAAAAAAATTATATTTGGTGTGGAATTCTAATCATGACTCTACACTCATATTTGAGTGTGGTGTTTGGATATAACTTTTAAAAATTAATTCTACATCCACTTTTAAAACATGTTTAGTCGGTTTTTCTCTCGGATGTCCCCCAGACGTTCGGTCGGTTGATCAGAACAATTTTTTTTAATATTTTTTTTACACCTGTTATTTTTATATTTTAAATAAAAAATATTTTTAAAATTTTTTATGAGTTTTGAATAGAATTTTGAATTATGTATTGTAAGTTTTTGAATCAAATATCATATGTCACAATAAAAATTTCAAATTCAATTCAAAATTCATAACCAAACAAATTTTTCATATTCAAATCATAATTCCAAAACTCACAAACTCAAAATACAACTCTATTCTTAAATCATAATTCTGAAACTCTACCAAACGCTATCAAATATTCTCTTACAATTAATTGTTAAAAGAAGACACTCTAATTACAATAATGAAGAATAATATTAATCATTAGATGAATTTTCTCATTTTTTTACTTTCTACATAGAATTATTTAATAAATGAGAGAATTTTATTATACACACTCCTATACCATATACATCTTTAATTACACAATTTTCTTCTTTAATTATAGCATTATTTTTAGTTAGTTATGACTTTTTTTGTATTTAGTTATGACTTTCTCTCTTTTTTTTTTCTTTTTTTTTTTAGTAATGACTCAAAAAATATGGAGTCATATCATTTTCTTTTATAGTTATAAAATGTATATGGTATATACCCCTTAAGGTGTATACTATAGTCTTTCACTAATAAACGATATGTATATGTTGTGTCTCACACCTAATTTCGTGTATTTGTGTGAATCCACTTAAGAAGAAAGAAGAAAAAGGCTGGAATCTATTGAGGCATATTTATCTGTTGTCTTGCAACATGTTTGATTGTTGAAATAGGTTGATTATGATTGAGTGATATGATTATTACTAGTGTGATGGTATGCACTAGTGATTTTAGTTGGTGATAATAAAATTTATAAAATTATGCAAATATTCTGATTATATAAAATTTATATCTTGATTATATAAAAAGTGATCTGTTGTTTTTGTAAAGCAATGATAAAATGGTCTTTACCTATCTAATCTCATGGACCCGTCATTTTTTTTGACCTCTATATATACATCAAAATTGTTTCCTAACCCCCCTTTGAGTGCCCACCATAATATCAATCCTACCATTTCTTTGGACTCCATTATACAATCTGTTCATCATATTGTTTAATTTTAATAATATTTAAAATATTATTTGTCAAAATTTAGATTTTTTAATAGACATATTATTTGACACAAAATAATATCTGTTTAAAATTTGTATGGTATATTTGTTAAATATTATTTAAATGAAAACATTTTGAAAACTTTACTATTCACTTTTTGAAGAAAAAGAATAGGCTGATCACTATTCATCTTTGACAAATTGATTAGTTGTATTATTTTAACAAATTTGATATTGATGGGTTATCTTCTTTTGACAAAATTGATATGGAGTGGAAGGTTATATTTAATTTAAAATCTCTACAACATATATAGAAATTGAAAATGGGTATAGATGTTCAGATCTATCATAAATATTATTTAAAGAGATTTTTTACTATGTATGCAAATATTTGTTTAGCATATTATATATAATGCATATAATATAAATAAAATACATCACGTGAGCAATTAGATTTTTTACACAATTGATTATATCATGTCATATATATATATATTATTATGGAGTAAATAATTTCATATATTGCTTGTTTAAATTCAAAGTTATAAATATTATATATAGTCAAAGTCTTAAAAGTAATATAATATAATGTAATAATTACAGGAGAAGACTTATACATTTTTTCATTGTAAATCTTTGTAAGAGGGGCTAATTTGAGCCCACTAAATTATTTAGGCCCAATAGCCCAAGATTAGTGGGCCCGAATTTATTGCAAGTCCAAGAATCGGTGGGCCCAGATTTATCGCCATCAAACGGGCTGAATCGCTCTAAGCCTCGAAGGGGTTCGGATCCACGAACTTAGAGACTTAGAGACTTACTCGGGCCCGGACTCGAAAGGGTGTTGAACAAGCCTAGAGATCCGAGGCACTCGGACTCGAAAGGATTCGAATCTACGAATCTAGAGATCCGAAGCACTTGGCTTCGAACGGATTCAGATGCAATCTAGAAGCCGCTCCGTTAATGAGTCCTAGAACACTTGCGGGCTCGGAGCTTTCCGGGATCTACGCACCAGAACCATGGGCGTAATGGAGTTCGAACAAAGGACCCGATCCCGAGGACGGTGAGTGGAGATAAATTCACTCTTCGGTTAAACTAGCCTATACCCGGGTCGAGGTGGCACGACCCCGGGGGGGTCCATGAGACTCGGCAGTATTTTTGCGGCAGGACGTCCTCTGGGACTACCCCTGACCCTTTGGGATGATTGGGGATCATTGGTTAGGTGTGGCTAAGAAGAAGGGTTCGCCGAGGGATTGATCTCCTCTTCGGGGTTTTCTCATCCTCGGAGAAGTCACCTCCTCGGAGAAGTCACCTCCTCGGAGAGGTCACCCCCTCGGACAAGGTGGCTAGAGAGAATATCCCCCATGTGCCTTGCACATGGGCTCCATCCTACATCATGAGGTGCCTATAAATAGCACCCACCCATAGCTTTACAAGGGATGAATTTTGGAGATTTTTGAACCCTTGGGAAAGAATTAATTTCCCCTCTCCATTATCAACCTTGAGAGTGAAAGTGGGAGATCCATGGGAGAGCCTTGCCATTATTCTATTCTCTAGCCATTTTGCCTTCTTCTTCACCCAATCTCTTATCTCCATCATCTTCTTTGTTTTTGTGTTCTTGAGTTAAGACCATTGAAGAATCTAAGCCTCTCATCATCTTCTAGAGAATTCGAAGTTGTTCTTCAAGGATCTTCGAAGATCTTCGAATTTTCTAACTCTTTTCCTTGAACCCTCACCTACAATCTTTAAACATGTTTTGCTTTCAGAATGAAAGAGGAAAAAAGTTGCAAAATGCT